GTTCCGCGGCAGCCAGGACGCCGCGGACTTGCTGCGCCAGTGGGCCCGTTGTTGGCCAGCGCCAGCGGCGCGCAAGGTCTTCGCTCAGATCGGCGCAACGGGGCGCCACAAAGCCGCGCGAGCACGGCGGGGGGGGGGAAGGGCGTTAGTAAGGGCCCCAGGCCCCCACCTCGCCGCCACGATGGTCAATGCCCCAAGCAGCACCTCAAGGGGAATGTGGTTCAGAGGACGACGGGCAGGTTGTTGACGGACCACTGCGAGGTGATCGAGACGGCATGGGGGCCGCTCATTCTCGCGGAGACCACCGCGTTGCGCAAGACAGCGGGGGCCCGCGGAGGACAGGGGCGGCCCGCGCCAATGCCGCAGCGGCAAGATGACGATCGCGTTTGACGCGAGGCCGAACATCGAGCTGACGCTCAGGGGCGCGACGGCGCCCGCGGAGCTGATCGCGAATAGTGCAGCCATCCAGCCCCGCATCGATCGTCCGCGGCGCGCGCTCGATCGTCCGCGGCACGATGGCTCGATCGGTCGACCAGATCCCATTGATCGGCCGCGGCGCGCGCTCGACCGAGGGCAGGAAGCCAAACGAGCCAAGACTGACGACGGAGCCCGAGACCACGGTCGAGCAACAGCTACGGGCGCAGCGGAAGGGGTACACCCACTTCCAGTGCGAGCCCAGGCCATCGGCAGCAGCGCTAGCGAGACCAGTACACCAAGGCATTTTTTTGCAACCTGGCAAGGACCGGGATCGAGACTTGCACCCCCGCCGATCGCGAGGGCATAAGCATTGGCTGCAGAGATAAGCAAGACCCAGCGCGCGTTGCACACCTACGGCAGAAGACGTGTAAGGGACACAATGTGCAGCAATTGCACGGTAATGCGATGTGTTACAGTGCCAGGAGGCAAGCTATCATGACCAGCTTACCTGACAGCGTAGGGCAGGGGGTCCATTGCAAATGCGCTATGACTCCAGGCGGCAGACGGCGCGCAGGCACGCGGCCATTGCCTTGCGACGCGGCGGGGATGGTTGTCCATAGTGAGCCGTGTAGGCGCCGCCGTCTTGCATTCTATTCTTACCTGCCCGACGATAGGGCATCTGCTGCGGGGCAGTTTCAATGATGCATGTGTCTCGGCTCGCAGCTATTACTGCCCCTCTTCCCCAATCAGCTGCACAGCGGAAGTACGAAGGGGGCTGCAGGAGGAGGTGGGGGGCACGGCGGATGCAGCGCATGAAGAGGCGATCGTTCTCTCGCCCACTCAGGCATCGACTTGCCGCGCGCTCCGAACACGACGATGGACGGGGGGTGGTCGATAGTAGACGCGGCGCACGTGGCTGCACCAGCGCACGGGCAGATCTTGATCCGAAAGAGAGACAGACCCACGGTTCGCCAACGGCTTCTGGGAAGGGGGAGACGCAGCACGCAGGGGTGCTTCCGCGCCATTGAAGCGCTCGGGTGCCAGATATTGCTTCTTTACAGAGCTATCGCGGAGATGGTTCACATAGAAGTTCTCCTTGACGAGTTCGCAAGTCGGGATGCAACGTCAGCTGGGCCATGGGAGCTCACTCGGGATGATGTCGACGCAGAGACGGAGATGTTGAGGTGTGAAGAAGAGAGGCGAAGGGACTAAGATGCGTTGTTCCAGCCCAGTTGCGAGCGCGCTTCTCCAGACACGTCGGACCAGAGTCAGGGGGGGAATAACAATGCGAAGTGCGTTCCCTGCTGCGCGGGGTGCGCGACGCAGCACAGAGTGCGAAACTGCGTCTTGCGCGCGTGGTGAAAGGACCCGGCATCATAGGGCAAACGTAGAAGGCCCCAGACCAGGAGGGCCCACAAAAGGACCCCAGGCCCCACTCGACTGACTCTAAGAGCCTCAACAGTGCCAATCCGACCCCCAGGTCTGAAGTCGCATCGGTCCCAGACCCCAATCCAGAGACGACCCGCAGTCCGAAAGATACTTTGAAACTGCCTACGCGCGACGGCAAAGCATTTCCGCGTTCAGACTTTGCCAAAGAAAGAATGACGAGCCCCCCCCCTCGCACATCCGCGGCCGCGGCTCGCGCCGCGCGGCGGTCGGGGGCGCCGGCCGCGCGCCGGCTCGCGCCGGAGCTGACATCTTGAGCGCCGGCCGCGCGTGGCGGGCGGAGCAGAGCGGCGTCCAGACGCAGATCGCGACGCCCCTCGACCGCGCAGCCGCGCCCCAGGCCAGCCTCGCCCGCGCGAAGGTCTCGGGGGCCAAGGCGGGCAAGGGGGAGATGCCGAAGCAAGAGCGGATCCTCATCATTGAGCACCAGTCCCAGGGCGCCCACGAGACCCCCGAGGGTCTCCAAACCAACGGGCAGATCGGCACCAAGAGCTCGGATACGATTGTTGTCCACGGCGAGAAGAAATACATCGAGATGCAGGTCGACGAGCCAGTTCGCCCCGGGTGGATGGAGGATGGCGCGAGCACCTGGGCCCGCTGCGGATGGCCGCAGGAAGATCCCAGCTCCCGGGTGGACTACAGCCAGTGGGCAGACAAGAGCTCTGACGAGCTCATCGCCAAGATCGCTCGCTTGGAGGAGAAGCTGCAGCAGTTTTAGACCGTCGGCAGCGGAGCGGGCGCGAGCCCAGTGGCGAGTTTGGATCAGTAGAAGAGAGATTCCATTATGCAGCTGCAGGCCAGGTGGTCGGACCGACCCCCTGATTTCTTTTCATGTGCGCCTCTCGCTCCAGCGTGACAGCCTGCGCCACGGGATATATAAAGAAAGCGGCGACGGGGGCAGGGCCCCCCCCCCGCTCGCGGCCGCGTCTTCGGCCGGGGTCGACCCCGTGGTGGCGCGCGCTATAAAGCACTAGCCTTCGGGTTCGCGCCGCGGGGCACGCGTCGGGGGGCGGGGGGCTGCGACGGCATGCGACGCCAGGAACAGACGAGCAGCGAGCTAAACGCCATGCAAGGCAACGGTCGTTATCACACGCCGCGCGGGAGCGCGCCAACTACCGCCGCGCCCGCCACTTCGAAGAACCGTGCCAGGGCAGCAGCGCTGCTGCATTGTAGCAGTGAAATTCAGAGGCAATCCCGCACGAGGGGCGGCGAGGGGTCAGGCGGAAGGGAGAAGCTGCGACGGCGCGCGCGCCCCTTCGATCGCGAAGTTCGAGAATCGCCGCCCAGCCCCCGCCCCGCGCCGCTCTTCCCCCCCTGCGCAGCACGGCAGGGCTCCCACCCCTCTTTCAGAGAGAACCTTGCCAGCAGGGCCCCCCCCCGCCGAGGGCGGCGGCGAGGTTCGGGGGGCCGGGTCATGCCCCTCGCCCCGCGCGAAGGCCCGAGAGTTTAGGGCCCTTCCGTATCACTACGTGGGAAGGCCATAAGTGCCAGCGATTGTCGGTCGTCGGGTGTGAGGATTATCTCACCGAGCGCCAGTACCTTAATCTCCTCATCCTCCTCCTCCTCCCTCGCGCCCTGGTGGTCCCGAGTCCGCAGGGCCCCCCGCGGAGTTCGGCGTGCGCAGGCGCGTCGCGGGCCGCGCTCGCCCGCCCGCGCGCGGGGCGCCCGCGGCCGCCGCGCGCCGCCGCCGCCGCCAGCAGGCGCCCCGCCACCGCCGCCGCCGCCTGCGCCGCGCAGTGCAGATGCGCTCCGCCTGCCTCCGCCGGCCGGCGGGGCGCCTCCGCCGCAGCTGCCGCCAGCGGCCTGGCGCACCGTGTCAGTCGCCGCCGCCCGGGCGCGCCTCCGCGCGCCACCCGGCGCGCCTTCCGCGCCCCGCTGCCCGCCGGCGCGCCTCCACCGCATCGGCCTTGGCCGCCTTCCAGAGGCGCCACTCCTGGCGCCTCTTCCTCCTCCTCCTCGGCGCCGTCCTCTTCCTCGGCTCCTTCAGCCTCCTCCTCCTCCTCATCCTCCCCTCGGGTGCCTCGCCCTCGTGAGTTCGGCTTCCGCCGCCTCCCTCTCCTCCTCCTGCGGCGGACTCCTGGCCGCCTCGGGGCGGCCGCCGCCACGCGCTCCACAGGGCGCGCTGGGCCGTCAGCCCCGCCCGGCCTCGCGCCAAGGCCTATGCTGGGCGGCCGCCAGCACGGCGTCGTCCGCGCGGCGGTGCAGCGCGCTCCCCATGGTCCGGTGGAGGCGCCAGATCGCGGCCGAGCGAAGCGCTCAGGCGCCTCCGTCGGCGCCAGTCGGCGGACCAACGCCGCCGCGCCTTCCCCCAGGCGGCCGCGGCCCCCGATGGCGATCGGGCCACCGGCGCGCCAGGGTAGCGCGCTCGCTCGCGGCGCTCCGCGGCCGCCGCGGCAGCGCCCGGCGCGGCGCGCCGAGACCGAGGGTTTCCTGGGTGGGGGCACTGACCGCCGTGAGGTGCACCAGGATTGGCGCCCCTAGCCCAGGCGCGTGGACGACGAGGTCCATGCGGGCCTCGGGATTCGCGGGCGCCGCGTGGGGTACCAGCGCTTCTCTGTGCATGGTGCACCCTTGTTCCTCCCGCCACTCGGCCAGGGCCGCGCATCTGGCATCGCGCCGGCGAACGCGCGAGCCCCCCGCGGGGCATCTGCGGGCGGGCGCCCCCGGCCCCTTCGGGTCCAGGGCCACGCCGCACACTCTGCCGTCCGGGTGACGGTGTTGGCAGAAACCCGCGCAGAGCGGCAAGTCCAACTGCAACCGCGTCCTGAGGGCAATGCCGAATTGCGAGCCTGTCAGCCGGTGGCACGGCCGCGTGGGCGGCTGCAGCCACCCTCTCGCGCCGGCAACCCTTCGCGTTGTGCAAGGCCGCCGCCGCGGGCGGATCGGCCGCCGCTTCGTGCGCGACGCGGCGGGCAGCCGCAGCGAGTGGGGCCGAAGGCATTGCGTGCTGCGTTGTTGCCAGCCCCTTGTCGCCGACGTAGGCGGTCTGGTCCTCGAGGGTCTCTTCCTCCTCCTCCTCCTCCTCCTCCTCCTCCTCCTCCTCCTCCTCCTCCTCTGCCTGCTCCTCCTCCTCGTTCCCCCATCCTCTTCGATCCCTGGAGGGAGGAGGCCACCTCCCCGCGCTCGCGCGCCCGAAGGATCCGACCCCAGCGCCGCTCGAGGGCCCGCAGGGCAAGGCGCGCCCCCCCCCCCAAGCGCGCGGCGCGGCCCGAGAGGGGGGGTCAGAGGCCGTGCATGCTTTGGGCGCGAATTCGTGAGGGGGGCGATACATGGGGTAACTCGGGTCAGGGATAACTCGGGTTCGTTTTTCGGGAATCCAAACCCGAGTTACCCCGGACCCGAGTTGCCCCGGATAACTCGGGCGCCCAAACATGGGGGGAAGCAGGGTGCCCTCTTCGGGCCCTAGAGTCAAGTCGGGCATGTCCCTCTACAGTGGGGGGGTATTCAAAAATAGTTTATAAAAACAGTCTGGGAACGACCTTTCGACTATCTTTGACTGTGTTGCAGCACTGTTGAATCACGCGCCGATGATTCCCAGGGGGTCGGCGGACTTTGCTTCTCTTCCAGAGTTCCGCCTGTGGGGGGCCATGCCCGACCGAACCCCAGAGGCCCCCGCCTGGGCGCCCTTTCGGCGCAGCCCAGGGCCTCCCCGAGGAGCAGCGCGCACACGGGGAGAGCCTCGCCCACCGGGAGAGAGAGAGAGAGAGAGAAAAAAAAAAAGAAAGAGAGAGAACAAAAAGAGAGAGAGCGAAAAACGCGCTGGCCTCGGCCTGCCGGGTGCGGGGCAGGAGCAGCTGGAGGTATCAAGCAGTCGGGAAGCGTCTTGGCGCGCCTATAGCCCTACCAAATACTGTTCTAAGAACTTGTTGTGGCTTCCACGAAATGTTCTTAGTACATTTCTGGTTGGAGCTGTCTTGTTTTAACAAATCGGGTTTATGTTCTAAGAACATGGTTTTTGCTATTAAAACGCTTTTGGGTTCTAAGAGCACTTCGTGGTAGGACTATAAGAATGCCGGGACGGACGGTCCCTGCTCAAAGGTAGGGAAGGGTTGCGGCATGAAGGGTTGTGGTGCCAATCGTGGAAATCGAGTTGTTATCTACGGCAGATGGCATCGCCAGACTCAGCATTGGCACCACACCCCTCTATGCCACCCCCCCCTTCCCTGCCTCCGGAGAGCAAAGAAGACCGGCGCGGGCGGTGCCCGAGGGCGGAGACCTCGGCGGCCACACCCCGGCGCATTGCCTCGGCGGCGCCTCCCCCCTCCGGCTCTCCGACGACGTGATCGTGTGCAGTTGGCGGTCCGTCCTCGATGTGTTGGCCTTCGCTGGCCGCCCTCGCGCCCCGAGAACACCAAGCACGGATCCAACACGGCAGGCTCCCTCAGGGGGGAGGGGTCGGGAGTTCTGGGGCCGCGGAGTGAAAAGACCACATCGTCGGATGTCTGGGCCTTCGGTCCGTGGACGTGTTCGTCGGCCTGCCGGCCGGTCTCTGGACGCTCTCGGCGGTTTCTCGGCCTCGGGGTGCTCCCTAGCAGCTGCGCCTCGCCGAGGGCGTCCCAGGGGTGCCCGGATCGGGCGGGGCCAGGGAGAGGGCACATCCGTTCCAGAGCCTTCTGGAACCCTCTCTGAGCGTTCTGGGACGCTCTGAGAAGGCCGCGGCGCCCGAGACATCTTCCAGAGCCGCCGTGCCTCGGAGATTTCCGATTAATCCTCGCCCGATTTGATCCTCGTCCTGGCTTCGCCTTACCGAGCCGTACCGAGCGGCAGTTGGAGACTGACCCGAGCTTTTGATCCGAGAGCCATTGTTCGAGCTCTGGGCGATGGCCAGTTTCGGGGCGTGCTCTCTGCCACTGGAGGCCGCTCCCCGGGCCTTGGGCCGTCAAAAACAATGGCACGCGTTCGGGGCCCGGTGCCCCCCTTTGCTACAGTTCTTCTGCGTGCTGCACCCCCGGCGGCAGATCCGTTGCCAGCGGGGGGCACGCAACAGGCGCGCCCCTTCTCCTTCGGGACTTGCGTTTCCGGAGGCAGGCCCGGCTGGCTTCCAGCTTCTTTCTGTTTCCTGCCCCCTCCGTCCTCCATCATCTCCTCTCCTCCCTCCTCCTTTCTTTCGATGGCCTAACTTGAGCAACGGAGCTGAAACGTTCATCCAAGAAAGGAATGGGCGAGGCCGGCTTCGGCAAAGGCGCGAACAGAGTAGGCGAGGCCAGCGTAGAGTGTGAAATGGGCATGGCAAGAGACACAAGCAAAAATATGTAGACTCAAAGGCTCGAAGCTCGAAGGGTGCTCTTCCTCCGCCATTCCTTCTCCTTACAAGTAACTCCTCCCTTGCGCACCCCGAGGCCAGTCGAAATGGCGGGCCCGGCGTTTCGCTTGAGACGTTCTCATTATGTATGGTTCTGAAGCTGAGAAACTGGCCACAGTTTCACAGATGGAAGGCGAGTGGTTTCCAAACTGTGCCTCTCGCCTTGGCGCCGCGCACATTCGTTTTAAGATGGCAAGAGCTCCACGGATTGAGGGCGGGTGGTTTTCAAAATGTGGCTCTCGCCTTAGCGCCGCGCGCATTCGTCGCAACGCAGGACAAGGGTACCACGGATTGAGGGCGAGTTGATTTCACAATGTGGCTCTCGCTTTAGCGCCGTGTACATTCGTTTTCTAAAACTGCAAGAGATTCACGGATTGAGGGCGGCTCGTTTTCAAAGTCTGGTTCTCGCCTGAGCGCCGCGCACATTCGTTTTAAACATTCGCAAGAGTCTCATGTATATTCATTGTTAACGTACCAGAACTGGTGTTTGGAGCGATTCAGTATTGCCAGGGCGGAACAGTTACGCTGACTCGCGGTGTTGAAGTCCCAGGAATGGTGCTTTGGCGCGACTCAGGATCGCTAAGACGTGCCAGTCAGGTTAGCTCTTGGCGCTGGACTCCTGAGACTGGTGTTTCAGCACGCTTCTGGATTTTCAGAGGGTTGCCCCCCTACGGGGCAATCCCCTCAGCGGAATCCTTGCAGGGGCCTGTGCAGGGGGAGCTTGGAGGGTGGGTGTATCCCAACACCGTTGAGGAGTTCTGGGCTTACACTGGTCCTCGCCCTCCTCCTCGTCTCTCCTCCTCCTCGTCTCTCCTCCGTAGCCGTACTGGCTCGAGCGCAGACCCCGCCGCGGGCCGCGGGCCAGCCGACCCCGGCCTGCCACGGCCCGCCACGCATGGAGGGCGCCCAGTGCACACGTGCGCCGCTCCCAGGGCCACCACGAGGGTGCGAAATTCGTCGCGCTTCGCGGTCTGGGCGATTTCCCAGACCCCTACGCGTTGTGACAAGAATTGCGACGGGAGGTTTTTCACTATTTTCTGCCTCCAGGGGCCCTTCCTGGGCCTCCAGACCGTCAAGAAACGATTCAGGATGAAAGACCGGTCCCTGGGAATGGGTCCAGACCTCTGGGGGTCGTCGTAATGAAAAATCATGACGTCGGGGGTCTGGCTTCGCGGTCTGGGCGATTCCAGAGCGAGGCGCGAGCCCCTCATCTTGTTCCGGGAGAGGGGGACGGGGGCTGCGCGAGAGCGCGAGGAGAATCGCGCTTCGCGCTCCGCGAAGATAGTTGCCCCAGCGATCCTGGCCAGGCCGATCCAAGGCCAAAAAGACGACGACGACGTCGACGGCGACGGCGACGGCGACGACGCATGGCGCGTTCTGGGAATCGGCGGCGAGCGAGGGAGGGGGAATGAGAAGGAGAAGGCCTTCTCAGAAGGCGGCGGAGCTTCTCAGAAGGCCTTGCGCCTTCTGGGAGGTTTATTATGTGCTTCATGGAAGGCTTCAGCTAACTGTTCACAAGGCCGAAGGCCTTCCGAGCCTTCTGAAAAGGCCCGCCCCTCCTCACTCGTCGGAGAAGCGTAAGACTCGAGCAAGCAAGAACTCGGCGTCGGGGGTCTGGGTAACTCTGGTTGGCCCAAAGGGGGTTCAGCCGAAAGGGAGTGCTGCAATAGATCTGGTGCAATAGATCTGTGGGGTTTTGCGACAGGTCTGGGGCGTGCAGTATACTCCGGTGCGCAGTTATGTGTTGCTGGACTTTCGCGCGCAACCCACCAGCCGCACTAGAATGCGATACAACTCTCTGGCGCAGCAGATTTGCAGCACGCTTGCCCCCCACATCTGATGCACCACCCCCTTGCAGCTGGATTGCAAAAAACCTTGGATTGCAAAAAAGGATTGCAAAAAAACCCAGGATTGCAAAAAAACCCTGCTGGGTGAAGGATTGCAAAAAAAAAGCCTGCTGGGATTGCAAAAAAACCCAGGATTGCAAAAAAACCCAGGATTGCAATCCCCCCTGCTGGGTCCCCCTGTTGGGCCCGCCAGGGGGGGTGCTGCTGCACGGCTGGTGCCCTCCCTGCCCCAGCCTCGGCGCGCCCCCCTCGGGGCCCATGGCGGGCGAGCCCGCCGCCTCGCCCGCGGCGCTCGACGGGCGCCTGGATCTGCAGGAGCCCGGAGGGCTCCGACCCGGGCAGCGCCGAGAGATCGCGATGGCCGCCTTCGGGGGGCGGCAAAGATCAGGAGGGAAAGAAACACACAGACACAATTAATCGTCGATTCCCCAGAAAATATGGGAAAATATGGGAAGTGGGGGGGAAGACAAAAACCCAGAAAATATAGGAAAATATAGGGAATCTGGTTATTTGTGCTTATTTATTTGTGTGTCCCAGTGCCCGTTCAAAAGAGGGGGGTGATGACTAGGCGGGGGGGGATCTCATGGCGGGGGCCATGATATTTCCCCAGATTTTACGGCGCCCCTTCTTGTTCCACTACGTCCCTGGCCCCCCCGCTGGGCCGCGCACGTGCCGCCAGTCATGATTTGCAGCCCCCCCTCTTGGACCCCCCCCTCTTGGCCGCTCCCGACGCCTGGATGGTGGCTCCCGGGGCGTTCTGCCGAGGGGAGGGGCCGTGATTTTCGGTGCTCCGCGCGGATTTCCTGGATCGGCCCGCGGCCCCCCTGGCGCCGCCTCCAAAGCGCCGCCCCTGGCAGGCTCCGCGCGCCAGGAAGGGTATCCATCGCCGATCCAAGAAGTCCGCGTGGACCGACGAACGTGTCTGTTTAGATTGCCTTTTCTCCATGTCTGTGTCTATTCATGAGGCCGTCTCCCAGCTCTGGAGCCCTGAGAGAACGAGTCAAGACCGAACACCAGTCTTGGGGAAGGGGTGGAGATTCTTGGGGTCAAGGGAGGGGTGCTCGAGGAGGCTCTCGTTGGGAGCGAGGATCTTCTAGGTACTTCGGACCATGTGTTCGTGTTCTTCTTTATTCCCCATGTCCTAAGATGGCGTTCTTGTTATTACTCTGACGCCTCCTACTCCTCATCCTCCTCCTTCTCCTCCCCTCTCCTCTTCATGCCCAGACTTACTCATACACAGACTGACTCACACTCAGACTTACTCATACCCAGACTTACTCACACACAGAATTATTCATACTCAGACCTGCTCATACAGAGACCTACTCATACTCAGACTTACTCATGCTGAGACTCACTCATACCCAGACTTGCTCATACTCGGGCCTTCTCATTGTCTGACTTACCCTATACACAGCAGATTGTGAGGATGTCTCAGGCTGGGCGCTGGTTTCAGCACCCCTAAGGGGAGCCGCCGAGGGGTATGACACGGTCCCGTTCGCTGCCAGTCTCAAGCGGTTTGCCTGTTTTCTGTCCCAACATCCTTCGCTTTCGGAGCAGATTTGAAGGATGTCTCGAGCGAGGCGCTCATTTTCACGCCCCTAAGGGGAGCCGCCGAGGGGTATGACACGGTCCCGTTCGCGGCCGTTTTGTGGGGATGTCTCAAGCTGTTTGCTTGTGTTCTGTCCCAACATCCTTCGCTTTCGGAGCAGATTTGGAGGATGTCTCGAGCGAGGCGCTCATTTTCACGCCCCCAAGGGGAGCCGCCGAGGGGTATGACACGGTCCCGTTCGCGGCCGTTTTGTGGGGATGTCTCAAGCGGTTTGCTTGTGTTCTGTTCCAGCATCTTTCGTTTTCGGAGCAGATTTGGAGGATGTCTCGAGCGAGGCGCTCATTTTCACGCCCCTAAGGGGGGCCGCCGAGTGGTATGACACGGTCCCGTTCGCGGCCGTTTTGTGAGGATGTCTCAAGCGGTTTGCTCGTTTTCTGTCCCAACATCCTTCGCTTTCGGAGCAGATGTGGAGGATGTCTCGAGCGAGGCGCTCATGTTCACCCCCCAGGTGGGCCAGATTTCGAGGATGTCTCGTTCGGTTTGCTTGTTTTGGTTGCCAGACTCGTGGGCACAGGTTCTCCTCAGGATGCCACAGGATGCTCCAACAGGCTCCAGGAGGCCCCTGAGGACCACATGAGGTCCCAGGAGGCATCAGGAGGCCACAGAAAGACTCAAGAGGCCACAAGATGTCCCAAGAGGCTCCAGGAGGCCCCAGGAAGCTTCAGGAGGCCTCGGGAAGCCACAGGAGGCCCCAGGAGGCCACAGGAAGCGCCAGGAAACTTCGGAAGCCAACAGGAGGCCCCGAGAGGCCCCAGGAGCAGGAGGCCTCAGAAGGCAACAGGAGTGGCTCCAATCCCACGTGTTTTACGTATGCTCCTATAGATTAGGCCTCACCTGGAGCACGAATCCTTGACGTTATACGTATGTTTTTATATATTGTCCTTCTCCTGTGAACACAATACTAAATGTTTTACTTATGTTCCTATATGTTGGACCTCTCCTGGGGCACTAGTCCTTGGTGCTTTACGTGTGTTCCTATAGATTGCCCTTCTCCTGTGGCTCCAATCCGCAATATTTTATTACGTCGGTTGCTATAGTTTGGGCCTCTCCTGGGGCACGAAGCCTCCCTGGGAGGTCCCAGGAGGCCCCAGGAGGCCCCAAGAGGCTCCTGGAGGCCCCAGGAAGCCCCAGTAGGCCCCAGGAGGCCCCAGGAGGCCCCAGGCTCATGCGCAGAGACGCGCTCGTACTACTGAGTCTCATTCACACTCCAATTCATTCGCAGTTAGATTCATGACCAGACCGCCACAACTGAAGCCCGTTTATATTCGAAAGCTCTTGCGCCTAGATATTCACGGCGGACAGGTCCATGCGAATAGATGCACATATGGGGAACTCCACGCAGTGAATAATTGTTTTGTCGATCGGCGCGGGCCCTCGCACCATCCTTCCCCCCACCCATGGAGTAGATCTTGGCTGTTTTGGGCGCCTGTTTCAAGCAGGCAGACGGCTCCCCATAGGAGTCCCCACTGGAGCACTGCTTCAAACAGTCTCGCTAAGCAGAGGTCCGGAGACAGACCCCCCCCCCTTCCGCCCAATGCCGAAACGTCGAATAAGAAAACGTTCACCATCCTGATCGAGGGTCAGCGAGGTTCGAGGATCGAGGAACTCCGTAAGGAGGCTCGAGGATGGTATCTTTTCCCGGCTTCGGCCTCCTGGGGGGTCGGTCTCGGGCCAGTTGGGCCGTCCGGAGGCGATCCGGGATAAGAGAAACGAGGCAGGATGCACCCCCACGCAGGGAACGACGTCGTGCGACTTTCGAGGTCCGGAGGATCTAGATCTACGAGGTATAGGTGTACCTTGAGATCCTGCCGATTGAGTTTTTCAAGCCGGGCTTTGCGATCAATTTCGGGGCCCGGGACCGTCACATATCGATCTTGTTTGAAAATGAGGCAGAAGGATGGGATCCAGGGGTCCAGTCGTGATTGTTTGCGATGTTGCAATTCTTTGCAACGTCGAATCTTAGGGTGAGCCCCAAAACGAGAAGTATCGTTGAGGCCTGACTTCGTTTACCTTTGTAGCCAGTGCATCGTGCATCGCGTGGCCCACCCGTTCAGCCCCGTTCTCCCCTTTCGTGGTCGAAGTCGGAAGGCATGTGCTGCGTGCGTCAATGTGCGCGTCTTTCATGCGAAGGTCGTTTCCCGTGCTTCGCATGCCGCGCAAGGCCTGGAAGTTGTTCGACTCTCTTCGCGGTCGTTGCGCGCGGCGCAGTTCTCGTGGGAAAGCACCCATGGATGTTGCATTTGCGCCCAGGGGCTACCCCGCTTGGCTGTTTTTCGTGTGCCGATTGACGTCTGAGCGGGATCCGCTTCAACAGAAAGCCCCTTCCTGCCTTCCCCCTTCGATCTTACCCGCCTTTTCCTATACGCGTGCTCTCTCCCCCCGGCACCCCTCGCCCGCGCGGTTCGAACTCTCTCAAAGCCTCCAGGGTCGAGAGTCGAGGCCCTTCGGCCTTCGGGGGACCTCCTCGTCGCCGCGGCCTGACGCATCTCAAGAGATCCGTCGGTGAAAGAACTGCTACCCAGTCAGATCATTTTTTGCTGTGTGCTGTGAGGGGTCGTGCTGGACAGCTCGCAGAAAACGGCATACCGACATGCAGCGACAGGCGGCGTTGATCGCCTCGGCGGGCGGACGGGCCCGGAGGCTAGGGAGAGGAGGCTTCGGGGCGCCCGGGGTTCGGGGGAGGTGGGCTTGAAGCGCCCAGGGGCTTTGCGGGCTCTCGTGGATCTCTCTTAGACCGTCTGGGGGGCTGGGCGGTCGTCCAGCAGCCATCATGGGCCGTCTTCAAGGCCGGGCGGCCGCCCACGGCCGTCTTGGGGGCATCTTGGGCCATCGAGCCTTCGCAGGCGCGGGCCTATTATTGCATTTTACAAGAGATCGCGGGTTTTGGAGCGCGGTCCCATTGTTTTCTGCGGAACCTAAGCCGTCGGGAGCAGGGGGGGGGGCGCATGCGGCGGCGCGCTCCTCGGGCGGGGCTGCCTGTTAGAATAACACAGAAACGGCATTCGACGGTTGAGTGCCATGCCATCGCGCTGGTGCGGCGCAGGCACGGCGGCAAAGATGGGGTGGACACCGGGTGTCGCACGCGCGGGGATAGCCCTGGAGATCGCCAGCTTTTTTTGCCCGAGGCTGTTCAAAACGCTTGGGGAGTTTCTGCCAACGCCTTCCCCGAGCCTTTCGGTTTGTAAGTGCACATGCCATATGGCATCATATCTGTCACAGGTATATGTCGGACATGTTTTGCCCCAGGGGGGCGGTGAATGGGAGGAAAAAGAAGAAGAGGAGGAGGAGGAGGAGGAGGAGGAGAAGGCTGAGGAGGAGAAGGACGAGGAGGAGGAGGAGGAGGACGAGGAGGAGGACGACGAGGAGGAGGAGGAAATGGAAGAGGAGGAGGAAAAATAGGACGAGGAGAAGGAGGAACAGGAGAAAGAGGAGGAGGAGGAGGAGGAGGAGGAGGAGAGGAGGAGGAGTAGGAGGAGGACCTGATAGAGCAGAGAGCGGGTCGCGAGAGAATAAGTCCCGTGTGCATGTGCCGCGTTCTGCAGCCTTATAGGCTCGAGCTGCGCAGTTGGTATCATAGAGAATTCCCCTGCAAGATACATAGACAACGACCAGAGCATACTGTTGTTATTGCTTGATGTCAAGATATATGTTTGCTTGCTGGTGTCAGACCCTTGCCAAACGCGTTGGAGCTGCTGGTTCGCTGGT